AATGCACCAACATATCTTAATTAGTTTTACACAAGGTTGGCAAACGTTACTTTTCAGTTACTTTGTCGTTACTTTTTATAGTAAACAATTTGATGACGATGTTGCAATTTTTTATGACAGTAACGCTAACTAACTAAATGTTAAGCTTGTACTGAGGTTAGAAAAGTCACTTTGAAAAGTAATTTGTCACTATTACGCGTTACACTGAAAAAGTTATAAGCATAACGAGTAACGCGTAACGTTACGCGTAACGTTTTTTCAATCCATTACAAGTAACGATTGACTTTTCTAACTCTGATGTTAGCATTACCATCATAAAAAATTCACAATGTCATTACCAAATTGTTATTATAACAAGATAACGATCAACAAAGTAATGGCGTTACAAGTAACGCGTTACTTGCTAACCCTGGTTTTACACAAATTCAACATCATTCATCATTTAAAGAAAGAAGCGGTCTTGTTCGAAAAAAATTTAAGATATATTTGATTGAAAAATACATTTTTCAAAAAACAGACATTGCATTACAAGTAATCCAAATTTTATTACAATTTTCACGATTTCTTTCTCTCTTTTTTCTCTTTTAAAAATTAATTTTTATTATTATTATCTTCTATCAATTCAGTTTATATTTCTTATAAGTTTTGCTTTATCAATTGTATTTAATTTTAGTGCTTAAAAGGATACTACATATATTTCCAGAGCGCTTAATAAACACACACCGATATCTACATATCTCTTTTATCTTTTCTTTTTTTCTTTGCTACAAACGAAAATTTTTAAATATTGATTTTATATCTTGAAATATAGCGCATAAAGAGGAAAACTGTATTTATATTATATACGTTTTATACATACGTATTATGTTAATTTGAATGTAGTTCTTTTGATACGATGTTGTAACAATTTTTGCGAGGTATATCTCCGCTCAAATAACTGAATTCATCGATTTCATACTTTCATCTGAGTTTATTATACAGGTACATTTCAAATATCCGATTATCTTTCTCTCTAGAAAGTTTTGCTCGATCGAGCAACGATGTCGCAATCTCAGTGAATGACCGAAGAAATGCAAGCTTAAGCGTATCTTGTTAAAGCGAAACGTCACTTGTTTTCCATATAGTAGCGACTAGCCTGATGACTGTTTCTGTCCATCTACATAAGTAAGAGTGGAATCGATTGGGCATCAGTGAAAGCGAAATCTATACGCCGGCTGGACCAACATGAAGGAGAAAGGTCGGGAGATGAAAGTGTTCGCGCGATCGGCTGAGGGAGATGGAACCCGGGATCCATAGTGCCGGGGATGGTAGGGGCCCTCGATTACAGGGGGGCCCGCCGGCGAACTTTCACTCGTCGTTACACAGCCTCTGACACATATCTCGGGCATACAGGTCGCCTTATGTTTAACGCCACGTAGGAAATGCAAGGCGTTGGTGAAACCGCGGGGATAAGAGTAAAAAACCGGTCGACTACGATCATGATCCTTGGTCCTCGAGAACCTGGACCACTGGACAAGAGAGGGAAAATGATACGTCACGATTTGTACGATCACAGCAACGAAATTGGGCCTCCTCGTCAGTTGACTACCGGGTGCGCGACGATATTGGCCGTTACACGGCGGATTCATGTATCGATAACCGACAGTGGTGCAGTGGTTTATGAGAATCATTTTGTTCCAATCATCCTTAGGCATCTTTAGGACACCATTTCGCTTCATTTTTCGATTTCATTAGCCATTAATAGATAAACATCTGGTGTTACAAATGTTGTCGTTTTCGACACCTTCCATTCGAACTCATCATCGGGGCGAGCTGTCATTTACATCGATTCATACAATTATATTTAGATGAAATAACTAACACTAATTTATTACTAATTATTTCTACGGATAGAACAAGATTAAACCATGTGTCGCGAATAAAAACAGCTAATATAGAGACAAGTTAAATAGCAAGTGATTAGCATTTTCGGAGAGATTATTTTCTATTCGCAAAAATGGTCAATAATCTTCGCTAATGAGAATTACTAAGATATTTATAGAAAAGCTGAAAACACTTGTTATATTAAAAGCTAAAGATTATATTATTTAAGAAGCTAAAAATATGCTGCAGCTAAGAAGATGACATGCAATTATTTTTATATTAATAAAAATCAATTTCAAAGTAGTAAAATAATGTACGACAGCTGGATAGAAAGATCAATATAAAATATAAAATAAAATATGTCCCGTTGTCATTTATCGCTTCAATAATTTCAAATCGATCCCGATTAACTTATCCGCCATCAGACATACGCAATGTAGCGATTCTTTGCAACAATATAACAGGCAATTTATATTCGAGAGGAAATGTTTTGATATCATCAACTTTAATAATCATTTTTACGTAACAAAAGGTTTTTTTTACTGTTGATGACGCGATTGTTCGATGCAACTGAACTGAATCTAAACAAACTTTGGTAGTAACGTCGTAATTTGCATGGAGCCTGACATTTCCACGTAGCGAACGCTCGTAAAGTTGTCGTGGATATTTTTATTGCAACTTGTCCTATTTTAATCGTTGTTTTTTTGAGAATCCACTTGCGAGTTCACCTTTAAGGAGGTTCTCGCGTTTGATGAAATATAAGACAAGTCTATAATATACATGTAATGCAAAAGTTGATAATATCAATAATATTTAGAAAAAATTTCTTTAACTTTTACCGTACCATTTTGAAGATATTTAATTCTATATTTATAGAATTTTACATTACAAGTTGAAGGTATAACCTTATTCTGCAGTTATTCTCTTTTAAATTGAGGCACTTGCATATAAGACAGCAATTTAAAAATCGTTATAATTATAAAGTAAACACTTAAGTTTGTTCTCGTAAAGTTTCTTTTAAACTGACCGTACAATTTACAAGAAATTTATATTCTTCAATGAAAAAAACTAGAATATATGTCAAATGGATGATGCGTATATCTCAAATGAGCATCTTACAACTTTTATTTTGTTATTTTGAAAATATTTAGTAATATATAAAATTAAGAATAATTATGTATAATGGCATAAGATATCGTTAGTAACTTTTTTATTCCATTATTTTAATTATTTTACATATTATTGTGAATAAATTGTCTATTGACTAGGAAGTAGCGCGAGAACTTCCTTGACGTAAATAGATAAATATGTAGATAAATATTTCTTGCTTTTCGGCTATGAAAGGGGTTTGACATATCTACACCGTAGAGAGAAAAACCGGGCCCGGGTGAAGAAAATTACGGACCCCTATTTCGCGCAGGTATTACCCCCAACCAGGAGCGGCAGATTTAGCAGAACCAGTGTACATATTATTGTGAATAAACTGTCTATTGACTAGGAGGTAGCGCAAGAACCTCCTTAAATAGTTTTACACGAATAAGCGAGACTCAATCCTCAGTGTACACAGGCATAATTAGCTTCAGCAGTCATAAGGCAATAAGGAAGCGAGGAGGAACGTTGAAATAGCGAAAGGGAGCGGGAGAGAAACGTTCCAGCTATGAATTTCGGAGTCTCGGTGTTCATATCAGTCTACGACGGGGAGTGCGACTGTATCCGCGGTTTCGTTGTGTCGGTTCCACGTAAATGTCCGCAGTGGTGCAGTGACATAAAGATCTATTCTCTCTCATATACGTCTTCTTGTTATATTTTTTTTTTGCGCATGATTGATCATTAAGGATACCTTTTGTCGTATTTCTTTTTGTGTTTATTTTTTCTGTCGCGTTATTTAAAGACATACGCTGCTTTTTGATTGATAACTTCCCGCGTGTTGCGTAGTCATTAATTGCGGGATACGTTGAATCGATCACCTATTGGCGCAAACGTGACTTTGCGTTTTATAACGGAAAACTACATATGTAGAAGGCTAATGTTTAAAAAGAACAGAATAAATGTATCGATGCAATACATTGATTGTAAATTAAATTGCGCACAGGATAGAATCTTTGACACAGATTTGAAATATTTTCTAGATTTTGCATAAACACAAACTTTATAAAAAAATCGTAAATTACGTTGAAATTATTTAACGGAATTAATATATTCAACAATTTATTATACAGAATTTTAATAATATATTATCCTATACTCTATGCGCTACAATGATTCGCTTCCGCGCTGCAAACAGATTTCTGTGGTGAAATTTGTGCGTGAAGTGTGAATAATGCTTTCGATCGGGACTTTCAGATATGTGATTCTGCATGTCAGATGCATGAAATTACGACATGTTATGAATATTATGCAATAGATTAGATTAGTTTCACGTAATACACTTTTACGTGACTTTTACGTGATAATGACCTCCTAATCGAGAACGAAAGCAAACGCATAAACGTCCTTGACCTTACTTGCTATTCTGATTTTCTTCTATTTACTTATAAAATAGAGATATTTGCACTTCAGAAAATATAATTGCTATTCGCGCGTTACGCTCATCATCACATACATTTGTTATAAAATCTTTCAGTGATCTATCAACTTGCAATTATAAGTGAATGAAGAACTTTGTAATTTGAAACAGTTTTTAGCAGTTAATTCGCAATGATAAATAGCATTTGATAAAATCAAATATGTGATTACAGTCAGAGTGAATAATCATCCGTTAATTCAGTCACTTTTCAAATCTAATCTTTGCAATTCGTTCACAGTTGTCTCAAAGTTGATTGATGAACGGCTTGTTTTGAAGCCGGGACCTGGAAGGAGTCTGCCTAACGAGAGCGAGGCAAGCAACGAGGCAGACTCGACTTTCGGTTTCATCTGTACAAATGGATACTCTTTTCTTTTCAGAGCTGGTTTCCTCCACTGCCGTTTTCTCCACCATTTTTTAATTCTTGACATCGACATTTGGCTCAGTCTTCAGCAGAAAATCATCAATCTAATTTAAAAAATTGACTCTCACTTATTAACAAAAATTTATAATACATTGACAATTGATTATTAAATATACATTCGCTACTTAATAACGTATGTTCACGATTTCCGTAATTTAATCAACGCATATATATAAAAATTAATCATTTTCATCCAAAATCTATCAATCTTTAAAGCTCACAAGGAATAAATGCCGTCACCTCTTGTTATCGTCGGATAACAACGTTGGTTGGCGATGTATTCTCCTAAATCTGTTCATCATCATGTGACGACACCGACTACGTATATTTTACGATGTCTGGTGGTTGTCATTATGATCGCCGCTGCGGCCACGTTTTTGCATATTAACAATTATAGGCCCAGTAAGTTGAAATAATTAATATGTAAAAATTAAAACGCGCCGATATATGTAGGCTTGTGCTTTGTATAAGTTTTATAATCTTTCGATTTTCCCTATTCAAAGTAAAAGTTCTGAAATATATTTTTATAATAACGTAAGAAGCTGATACCGACAGAATTTTTATTAAGCTGAATTAGAATATAATACCAATTAAAAACTTAAATCGTTTTCTAATGATAGGGATCAGCTTTGCTGTGTGTCAACGATAATAATTCGTAATAATGTGCAAAGTGCATTTTTGTTCTTTCTAATCTGCGCAACAACTTCGATGTGTATGCGCATCATTAACTTTTCTTTACTATATGGCACTTTCTATGTAACTTGGACTTTCATCTCTACAGATTGCCGGTTTGCATTTTTCCTCCGGTTGGGGGCAAGGAAAATTGCTTTCTTCGCTTTGAGTATAAAAATATTTTTTCTTTTCTTAGCTCTTTCTATCCTTCTTTTTCAGAACAAACATTCCTATCCTGTGACAGACCGTGTCATCACTTGGATTGGCCAATGATCTGTCGAGTGAAACTCACGTTAGAAGTCTTTCAATCGCTCAGCAAGTAAGTCAGAAATGATCGCTTAATTATGCCTTACATCTGTCTTATGAGAATATAATATCAGTATTCATGATATAAGATGCAGAAAAAACTTTGTTACGAACACTGGAAAAAGAGTCTGGTTACATTAATTGGAATTCTAATTGAAAATAAACAAATCAGAATTTTCTGGTTGAATCTATTATAATACTAATTGAGATAACCAGAATACTAATTAATTTGAAAAATTTCTGGTTTATTAATTTTTTTTTAACCAGAAATTTTTCTCAGCGAAACGTCAAAAGGCACACGATCTGTTTTGCTTTTTACGTGTTCAAATAGCTAATTATCACGCTAATTATCCCGTTAATGTCGATAATCGATGGTGTTTTAATGATTTAATAAATTATAATCGAATTATATATAATATTTTTATGTCTTTTTATATTCTTATTTTTCTTATATTTCTCCCAGAAAAAAATTTGTCAAAAACTTTCTCGGAACAAATTTTTTAATTAATCCTTAATTGCTTATTTTATATTTTGACATAAAAAGATATATAGTGTATAATTTAATATTTATTATGAAAAAAAGAAAAAGCGGTTAACGAATTGGAGCAGAAAAATTAAAAGTTAAACAAGAATGCCTTATAAGAAAATATTGCGAAATATTGCGCAACGTTGATCTTCTATAATTTTTATCCTTATTTTGTAAAATGTTTTTATCATATATGATTGCATTTCTGTTATATTAAAGTTAACGTGAAGTCACATTAATTTATTTACTCTGCATTTCTTATGGAAAAAATTACTTAAATATTCGAACAAAAAGATGAACTCAAAGAGAAAGTATCTTTACATATATACCTAATAAAACATGCTTTAGATCGTAATCGTCTCATGTGAAGAAACTACGATCTACTTTTCTTCACGTGCGTTTCACGATATGATTACAGAGTTCCTTTCTGCGATTGCAACATTGGTGAATTGTAACGATTTTTCTACTGTTACGTTAACCAATGTAGCAATTATTTCAGCATAATACTGCAAAAAAAAAACGGTTTCGGACTCGTCGGTGTAATAACCGTTATGCAATTCTCTCTCTCTAAGCGTTAATCGATGTAATGCGGAAGACTCCCGTGATCAATCGTGCGATGTCCGTCGAAACCGACATGCAAAATAAATCGCGTTAGGCACAAGATTGTGTATTTCTATTGAGAAGACCAGCGTACGGTACTTCATATCTGTTACTTGATAAACGCAAAGTTAAAGGATATATCAGGTGAACAGTCTCTGCAAAAAGTAATTGAAATTGAAAATTTCGAACTTTCATTGCAAAATTTACACTTTTTATATAAAAATGAATAAAATTAGATATGAATCAGTTCAATAAAACTATTTAAATTTATCAATATTATAGTTTGAGTGAAAATTTTCTCATTTTATCCTAATTATTTTTTAAAAGTTCACTTCTTATTGAAATCATTTTTTATTTAGATTTTGAATTGCTGCCAAACTTTTTATATTACTTTCAAATACAGTATTAAAAAATCTGTAATTTTTTCATAATTTTTACATTTTGCTAAAAAATATGTGTAATAATATATCTATAAATAAATGATGTATTTGCTCTGACAATGAATAATGTAAATAGTTCGTTTTATTTCACCTTTTACAAATCATGCAAATAGTCCATACAATTGTCTTATTCAATTGAAACATTGTGATCATTATCGTGATCATCAGATTGTTTTTCTTTAATTGCAATTATGATTTGTTTTCGTGCGTTTTTAAACATTTTTAAAAGATCGACGACAAATTTGTACAAAACAAGTAGACAAGAAACTTTTTTTGGAAGTTTTTCTTCTCTGATTTGTTTTTGTGCATTGATAGGAGATAGCATAACAATTTAATTTATTCCGTAGAATTATGTCTAAAAACAGGTATAACTGCTACGTAAGATATATATAAATTATACATGTTTTACATACGTTACATAACAATTATATTCGATGTTTGCTGGATGTAGATACTTCAGGCGTCAGAATTGCGACTTTACAACATTTCTTATAGATCATGCGGTGACTGTCCATTGAATCAGACGGCTTGTTTAGCCAATCACTGCGTTTCCGCGGATGGACAGAGACGAGGTATACTTACGGCCAATCGTCAAATGCCAGGACCTAGTATTCAGGTATGACCTCGATGTTCAACCACCGATCAATAGTCTGAGTGCATCACACCGCCGAGAATTCAATGAAGTCTATTGTAAAAGTGCAATTTGCTTACAATATCGCTCGCCACTTTTCTACACTTTTCCTCTCTTTTTAATTAAAACATATTCCATAACGACTTATTCGCAAAATAATTAATAGATAATTGAAAGTATATAATACAAAGTTATTATATTTTAATGCTTCAGTGGATGCGCATTAAGCGAATTTTCCATATCGTTTTGCTATTTTATGATCTGAGACACGGAAGATTTCATACACAAAAAAAACAATTTTTGTTGAAGTATTAAAAAAATTATCTATAGATACACACAGATCTGAAAATAATTTTGTTAGACTATCCAAATAATTATGTAGGACGTGTTCAAACTCGTTGCTAAAATGTTCGAACTTTTTGTTACACAAAGTTTATGCTTGAATTTTCTACATATATTATTTTGATGGTTGAACAAAGTTATTTTCATCAGATCTAAATTTGATTCTTTAGCAAATCGTTCTTTCTGTAGGATTTAGTCTGACAAAAGTCAATATTATCAGTTTAAATAGTGTCAAACTAAATTCACAATTAGTTATTAATTAAATTCATGAATAATTCATTTTGGATTTTACATAAAAAATCTAGACATTAAATTGATTGGTAATATAAGATTAATTCTATGATAAGAACATCTTTTTACTATCATCATTGCTATAATTTTAGAGGAATATTGAGTTGTGTGATTATAGGTATGTATGTATATAATTAGATTCATATACAGAGTCATGCATCTGTTATCGGATGGCTTCGTCAACATCAATATGCCTTCATTTGCAATCAGTAATTCGCAATTGCATGAAAGTGGATGTTCTATCTCGTGGTAAAATTAAATGTCGTGTGATGATTGAGACACGTAATACTCTTGGTAATTGATTACGCCGCATGAATATAGGAATAATCTCGTGCACGTGCCTTATTTAACTGATTGCGAGTGAATATTTTGAAGTGAAGCGAATTTTGTTAGGCATCTGATTGCTCTTCCTCGGCCACAAATATTTCGAAGCTTTAGAAATGTTGATTGAAGTTAAGTATCTTTTCTCAGGATCAAGTGGTAATTACTTTTTTTTAGCAGATTTTAATAAATCTTTTATGTCATTTTATATGATATTCTTTAATATATTTTTAATACCTTCATTTCTAACGGAGAAAGAAGATTAATGTATCAGTAGCTGTGTTATTTAAAATCTAATATTTGAATTTAAATGCATTTAAAAAAAAAATATGCTTCTCAAAACAAATTTAAATTTCAGTGTTCAAATATTTGAAAACATGTACAATTAGAATAAAAAAAAATTTTTTTAGTATAAATAGAAGCTTTTAATATATTTGTTATACAAAAAGAACAATTTTATTAAAAAATATTAATTTTACTGAAAACAGATCTGAAAATAATTTTATTGGAAACTCAAAATTAGTTGCTGGAATATTAAAATGTTTTGCAGCATTGCCAATCATACTTCAGATTCCTACATAAATTATTTGAATAGCTCAACAAAATTAATTTTAAATCTGTATCCAGCAAAATTTTATATCTTACAGCAAATTCTTTCCATGTATGTGTACATTTAACATATTTATTCATTGTAACGATGATTTAAAGCAAAAGAAAGAAACAATATATAAAAATAATTATAAAACACATTTATATTATATATTATCTTTGTATTGCGATTAAATAATCAAGTTTATAATTGCGTGTCATTCTTTAATTCAATTCGAAACTATCTTTTTAAATATCAATTTAATTAGGCATTAATTTCGCGATGTACATTACGATGCGATTGTTAGGAAATTTCTTTTAGATATTATGCAATTGTTTTATTCGGCATGATCTAATGTCGGCACAATCTTCATTAATGTCACATATCTAAATCGATTTTTTTTTAGATGGAGTATCTAATTGCGAACTTTCATACAAGTTTACGCTTTTACAGGTTTGTGAAAACGATATCCTAGTGGTGGATGTGATAAATCGTCTTCCTGGTAAAGCAGCTGCGGTGCATTGGCGAGGACAAACGCAAATGGAAATGCCTTACATGGATGGCACTCCGTTGGTCACACAATGTCCCATACCAAGTTACACCACTTTCCAATATAAATTTCGTGCTTCCATACCCGGCACACATCTTTGGCATGCACATGCAGGTTGCTAGCTAATTGTTATTTACGTTGAATATTTTATGAATCGCGATCGAAAAACATTTACAAAATTAATATAAAATTAAAATTTATATACTTTGCAAATAGTGCTATCGAATTAAACTACTAATATATTTGTTTAATGTACTTATTAATAAATTAAAGCTAAATTTATTTATAAAAATATATTTTCTCAAATTTTAATTATCTATAAAGTTATTTATGGAATTCAAAATTAATTTAAGAATGTTTTTATCTTTAAGTTATTTTACATTAAATGTAATCATATAATAATGGGTTTAATGATTCGTGATATTCATAATATGATTCGTGAGTTGTTTTAGATTAAATATAATCATATAACAATGGATTTAATGATTCGTGATATTGATACTAACTTCATATTATCAATTTACCTTTGATTATTATTAATTATTAATTATGATTTTTTTAAATTGTTTGACTGACCTGTTTTTTTGGAAAAAAAAAATGTTTTCAGGAGCCGATGTCACGGATGGCATTATCGGATCATTGATCGTGAGACAAGCGGACCTTCGGGAACCCCATCGCACCCTTTACGACATCGACGATCCTAATCACGTGGTCCTGGTGACCCAATGGCAACATTCGCTTCCGGAAGTACCGTTTAATCAAGGTTATTCGAAACCGGCGATTCTTTTAATCAATGGGAAAGGTCGTCAACCCAACGGACCCACGGTTCCTTTGAGCACTTTCACGGTCATTCCAGGACGACGTCACAGATTTCGTGTCGCTAATGCCGGAGGCGCTGGAGCATGCCCGGTGACGCTTTTCATCGATGGCCATTCGCTTCTCTTGATCGCGCTTGACGGACATCCTGTAGAGCCACGACAAGTCACATCGATTACTCTGGCTAAAGGTTGGAGTTTCGTTTAATTTCTTCGTAATCGGATCTCTGTACAATCCGTATCGACGTGCAACATGTCGATACTACATAAAAAGAATAATTTTGGTCAATTTAGCAAAATATTTAGCAAAATAATTTTGATCAATTTAGCAAAATATTTAGCAAAATAATTATGTAGGACGCTCAAGCTGCTTTCTAGAATGATTACGTTCAGCAGAGAAAGCAGCTTTGCAATTTGTTATAAAATTCTTTAATATGATTGGTTTATGTATTTAGACCCAATGAGGAACTAAGGGCAAGATCAATCATATTAAAGAACTTTACAACAGTTGTAAAGCTGCTTTCTCTGCTAGACATCGCCAGTGTTAAAACTTTCTACAGCGTTGTCATCAACGCTTAAGCATTCTACATAATATTATTTTGATGGTCTACCAAAATTATTTTCAGAACAAAATTATTTAGATAAATTTTTAGAAACTGTATCGTTCTTTCCGTATATACACTGAAAAAAATTTCTTAAATCTAAGTAATATTTTCTTGAATAATACTAAGTAAACATTTCCTTATTGCAAATAAATATTTATTAAACTTAAATATATATTATCTGATTTTTTTTTTAAATATTATTCTATTTTTTAAATAAATGCTTATTTGCAGTAAAAAAATGTTTAATTAATATTGTTTAAGAAAATATTACTTAGATTGAGGAAATTTTTTTTCAGTGTGGGGGTTGAACGGTTTTTTGATATTATCAGGAAAATTAGATACGTTTGATCGAAACGCCTCCACAATTTACATGCTTCATATTTTTTCCGTTAAGAAATTAATTACATAAAACTGTAGAAATATTAGACACCGAAACGTAAAAACATTTTGCACAAGTCTCGCAAGTGTCGATTCTTCATTGTAATTCACGTAGTAAGCGATGACATTTCTTAAACGCTTCCACTTTCGAATGTATCGGATCTTAAGTAGCACGTTCTCTCGTACGTCCTCTACGTTTACCCTTTGAGATTTACAAGAAAGTTAGGATATTCAATACCGTAAGATAGCCTTAACTCTACCGTTACTCAAAGCAAAACTTCATTTCCCGATTTCTCACGATTTTCATCGAATACGCTGAGACTGATGAATAGTCTTCAATATTCGTTAAAGGTGAAAGAGCGGACTTCGTCCTCAAAGCGAGCAAACGCATCGGATCCTATTGGATGAATGTGCACACAACGAAAGAATGTGGAACGAGCACGATAAATGGCGCAGCGATGCTCAACTACAAAGGCAATTCGGAAAATCCTGCAGCAACGGCGGAAGCTATCGATCAGCGTGATATTGACGAGATAGGAACAGACCTGGTGGCCGTGACGACGAATCCTGCCGAGAAATGCGGCGACCGAGAGAATTTATGCGCCATGGATATTCAAAGTATCCGTAAAATTCCGCAGACCCTGACTAAGCCCAGAACGGATGTGACACTGTATCTGCCGATTAACTACAAGATGCAAGCGACGGAACTGATAGGTGCGTAAAAAATTAATAGGAGCCCCTAATGGGAGTGAAAGTGCGAATTAAGGTGCAACCGGGACGTAATTGCACAGAGCATTAATTAACGCGAGCAGGATAATAATTCTGCCATCTAAATTTCACCGCTTTTTTCATTCATCATATTAATCATATTACATTCAAATCCGAGTTATTAAAATTTTGCTATCGAGCATGCTTCGTACGTAATAGCGTATCTCATGTCAGTTAGAAAGCACTTTCACCATTATCAAATTTTTCAGTTACTTTTTATAATAAACAATTTAATAATGACGTTGCAATTTTTTATAACTATACGCTAAAGTTGTGCTAGGGTTGGAAAAATCGATTTTTTTCCAATCTTAGCACAATCTTAACATTTAGTTATAAAAAATTGCAACGTCATGTTTATTACAAAAAGTAACGGAAAAAGTAACGCTTCCCAACTTTGTAATAATTTTTTGCATTGAAAATTTCTTAAGGTTTTTAATGCAGAAAACTATTATTATTAAAAGTTTAAGATAAATTACATTTAAGAAAAATACGAATATACATATAAATATGTATTACTCTTAAATTTTGGCCAATTTGGTTGAAATGAAAATGTTATGCGATTTTATTAGCTATGAAAATAATAAATAAAGGGAATAAAGAAGTGTATGGTAAGCTGATACAATTTCGAACATAATTCTGATCTTGTGTAGAGAATACTAAAATGTCAAACAGATGAAAATCAAACTAAAACTAGAATCAAACAGATAAAAACCAAACTAAAACTAAAAAATTGGATTTTTATCGTTCGAAATCGTACTACTTTGTTTATTAATTTCTGATAACTTCTTTATTACTAACGAAGCACTGATAGTGAAACTACATTTTCATTACCTCTTCTGGTGAACGAGGATTTATTTTTTAAATCTTACAGCGCTGTTCCTAAAGATTTATTATAATTCATTATTTTATTATATTTCTTATCTCAAAATATAATTCTGTTTCAATGCTACAGTAGCTTTTCCGTCCTGTAAAGATTAATCTCTTTACAAATGTCGTATTAGCCGTCTTTATATCATCACTTTTCATACATATGCCATGGAGAAGAAATTTCCTAACGCTCGCGTCACAGTGCACATCCGAAAACGGTGTGTAATTAAATTGATAAAAGAACTGTATATAGATACACTGAGAAAAAATATCTTAATTTCAAAGAAATATTTCTTTGCTTCTATTTAAACAAATTATTACTTTGGATCAATGAAAATTTCTTTGAAAATAAGATATTTTTTTTACTTTAAAGAACAAATTTTAATTTCAAAGAAATTTTTATTGATCCAAAGTAATAATTTGTTTGAATACGAGCAAAGAAATATTTCTTTAAAATTAAGATATTGTTTTCTCAGTGTAGTTTTAAGTTAAAAAAGAGAAAGAGAGAGCGATATAAACTTGATTATTTAATCGCAACGCGAATATCGTCTTCTTCAGGTAACGGCGGGACGGAGACGAGAGTGTTGAACGTGAACAACGTCACTTTCACATTCCCGCCGTCACCGCTGTTGACCCAGGGTGAGGATGTGTCCCCGGGGATGCTGTGCACCAACAACAACGACAACGAGGAAGATCTCAACGAGAGCAACGAGACCATGTCGCGACGCCGCTGCCGTCAGGTCGGCGATATCGGAGCGGGTGACATATGCGAGTGCGTACACGTGCGCCACGTGCCACTCGGAGCAACCGTCGAGATTATTCTCTTGGACCAAGGTAATTAGTCTCATTCGAGCGTGATTAAAACGCAAATGGAACTCGCAATGTCACGTGTACATTCATCTCGTGCACATTTTTTATTAATTTGAGTTGTCCGCGCTTTTCATTTTCTCCTCCGTTTCCGTTCATTCGAAGTCTTGATGCTCCAGATTTTCTGTACAGAAAGCCTAAAGAAAGACAAAGATCGATTTTTCACACTTACAATTTTATGAGAGGTCTAAAGAGTTTTCTTTAATTTTTTCCTTTTTTATCGGTATTATATACTTCTCTTCAAAATATACCTAGATAACACAAAATGTTCTACGAACATCTTTAAAAATACAAATAATCTCGGAATATTTGAATCGAACGTTTTTTATGAATATATACATATTATACATAGAATATTTTATTTAGATTTTTAAATTCATATTTGTAATAAAAAGAACATTTCTAAAAAGTTCTTCAGAATATTCGTAGAGTTAATGAATTGCACACTGAGCATGTGCAGTTCATTAATTACTATCAACTAACTGCTTTAAATTGCTACGTACTAAATTTATACGAACAAAATATTAATCGAACCCACATATAAAAATACGTAGATATTTTGTAGAAAATTACATAAAATATTCTATAGTTTTTCATAGAATATTTACAATTGCGTCCTTTGAATATATTATAAATATATCATCTATATTTCATGGTATTTTAATATGTACATATATACATGTATAATGTATATATTTTAAAACATTTATAAAATTTACATGCTATTTGGGAATATTGAACTATAATTGAATAATATATTAATATCTTATATTCAATAATACTGTATGATTTGGCAAAAATTTAAGAAAGATTCCTAAAAAAAAAAAGTTAAAATAATTTAAATACATTTTTAATGATTCTCAGCATTTTATGATTAGAAATAAGAAAAGAATTCTTAAATCATCAAATATTCTTAATATTGAATTAAACTTTAGTCAGAATCTTCAAGACAATGCAAATTAATGTGAAATGTGACAAGGTTACTGCAGGAACTCATTATGCTATTCGTTTGAAGGCGTACGGTCTTCTGCGTAATAATGTATGTAGCGTAGCTCATTAGTTTAATTATTACGTAGCCCCTCTAAGTACATGCTTGGGGATAATCTTACAAAATGAATGAAGCAGCACGTGAGAGAACATTATATTAGCAGCATAATACTAGTAGAATTAACGTTTGACCCCGATGTCTCTACATCTTGTATTGGCTACGAAAGCTAAAGTTATTGATGAAGGCTCTCATCATCATAAATCACTTTTGATGAGGGAGGTATATATTATTTGCTCGAAAAACAATATTTGACGCGTCATCGCGATTTCTTTTAAGACAATTGCGACAGCCGAGAGAAATCCCGCGACTTCCGATAACAGCACGTGGAACGATTGGTCTCTTTCATAAAGCTTCGCAATTACATGAAACTAATTTCAGCATCGACTATCGGTTCGTGATATTTCTCGTGAAATTATCTTCATTCACCGTTTATTTAAGGACCATTTCTTACACGATGGACGGATTTTCTATTAGACCTGTTCATGCTATAAACATTTTATATATAATTTAGTATTTTTTGTAATTTAGTAGTTATATAATTTACACAAGTCAGTTGTTATATATTTATAATACATCATAATATAGTTTAATATCGTAAAATAATTTAATATTAAAATAATTTTTTAGCTAAAATCACGAATAGTGGTAATTCGGTAATGATTTTTTTGCTACGAGGAATTCTATTCAATCACAGTTAATCTATTATCGTTTTACTATAGGTGGTTTGGATGATCTAGTTTATCATCTACACGGCTACAGTTTTTACGTGGTGGGCGCCCGACAATTTGGACGAAGTGTATCACTGCAAGAGGTGAAGAAACTCGATGAAAGAAGCCAACTGTTTTCGCGGAATCTTGATTGCGCATTAATCAAGGATACCATCGTTGTGCCTAAGTTTGGTGCCGTGGCACTGCGGTTTAAAGCCGACAATCCAGGTAAACCTTCGCTGATTGAATTGTTATAAATATTTAATGTACAAAATCTCTGTTTTATCGGATTCAATTGCTAATTTAGCAATTTTGTTTAACAAATTGAAGATAATTCTACTGTTAAAATATACGAAGATATTAACAATTGATGGGATTGTATTAGCGAAATGAAGAGTTTCTCGCAAACTAAATTTCAAACTGTATAATAAATAGCAAAACTTTTGACTTTAATTTCAAATCTTAGTTTAACATTAAAACCGCCACACAATCAAAAATTTTATTTTTTTTTCCTTTATATTAGATTTACAAAACAGAATATTAAAAAAATGTGTACATAATAAAAGTAATTTTAATGATACAATAATAATACCAAAATAACTTTTCACTAACCGAAAACAAAAATAAGAAATTATCAAATTTACAGCTTTCAGCCTTTAGAATATCATTGGCGGTTTTAGTGTTAATAGTTAAGATATCTAATATTATATTTTTATCAATTAAAAAAACCGATTCTAATAAAACTATTAACTTATCAACTCGATAAAATTCTTATTTGAGGTAACCTACTTCGTAGGTTATTGGATGTTGCGGGATGAGCACGCGACCGATTGGACTCGTGGTTTAGATGTTATCTTGCAAGTTGGAGAATCTAGCGACATGGTGGCGCCGCCACAGGACTTTCCAAAATGTGGATCCTTTGTTGGACCTGATTACTTCCTTATATAGACTGCTTAATCATTAAATATATAATTGTATATAATTGTATATAATAATAGCGCTTTGAATAGGAATTACTTTTATTGTTAAATAAATTTTACGAATTTTTATGAATAAATATCCACTTATGTTCGCTAATTGTTTGGAAATTATCAACTATTTTTCTTGAAAATCCAATTATCGGTAAAATTTTAATTGAATGCCAATCTCTTTACAACTTCTCCAGTTTCAACATCAAGGAACTTTAAGGATATATTGATTTATAATTTAAATTATAATGTAGTTATTAATAATATTTCAAAGAATGTGCAGCTTAGCGCAACTTCGTAATTTTCAACTTTTAATAACTGACTTAAGTAATGCATCATCGTAGTAAAGTCGTGAAACATCCCAGAACTGGGCACCTATCATGGGACTAGTCGGATTGGATTCCAATTGGAATTATTCTGTTTTTCTTACTCCCTAAATTCTTAAGAATAGAATCTCACAATAAAGAATAAAAATTGATCCAATCTTGGAAAAAAAATGGCTCGATTATCAATTTTTAAGAGTGAGATTTCATTCTTCAGAATGAGATTTGTATTCTAAAAATTTTAGAGAGTAGAAAACAATAAAAATCTAAAGAATAATTGAACAATTTCGACCGAAATCCATTCAAAACTCTTCTGTAATACACATAGGCTCGTATTTATAGCCCATAATAGCGTGCTTTTATCTCTGAAATTTTACAATATGCGTAACGTAAAGTATAGTATATTAGCGCGCTAACATCGTTGTAAGCGCGTTCTGAATACGGGCTATAATTTATTTTGAAACTATCTATATATAATATGCATAATCCATTAAGGGTGAACTTATTATGGAATAAATCGGAATTCATTCCGACGCGTTCTATAATAGGTGTCCATAATAATCCGCAACACTTCCATAATACGCTGATAAACGGAATTAGTGCGCGAATCTATCAGTGTTTCCGCCGTTGTCATTCGTTCCTTCTTCGAACAAACGATAGGCGCTACACGATTCATTTCAGCGCACGTCAGGCGTTTCGATGTAACCGGATGTAACTATTATAACCGCGATTCGTTTCCTTCGCGGTGACAGATAATTCCGAAAGGCCAGGCTGACGCGTAAGCCTTGTTAGTGATGTCCTGCCTGAGCGCGTTGCACACGCAGATAGGGACCCTGCTCTCCGTGCCCCACGAGATTCTACTTCTGCGACACAAGGTTTTCCGTGAATACGCGAAAATTGCAGTTGGGCCAGACTTTATCCACACGCTGCCATCCTTCCTAATCCTAACAGCCGTGGTACTCGTCCTCTGGAAGAATCCTCCGTCCTCCACGCGGCTCATGAACATCGTAGGCGCGACATTTATTTATAAAGTATTTCAGGTACAAAAATCACCGCATCTCACGTGTTAGCTAATGCCCTTCTGTATACACGTGCGTCTTTCAAGGTATCAGTTAGCTGGCTCGCAGTTAATGCTCTTTTATGGCTATGGCTGATCCTCCAAAGGATACTCTACTGCAGCGTCTGGCATTATTGGAGTTACGTGAGTGGATTCATTATATTTTTCTCATAACTAACAAAGGAATTGCTTTCATAACGCTTGAATTGTCCACTTTTATGTAAGAGAAAATAAGACATGTATGTACAAAAGAGAAATAATTTTCTACAGCTTTTCATGAAGAATAAAATATTATAGTACTTTGTAGGAGTGATTTTTAGTCTAAACTAATTATTATAATTAATATAATTGATTATTATAAATCTGTATAAACTAATTACTAAGCCTAAAATTAGATAATTAAGAAGTTAATTACAAGATGTAATTAATTAAATTTATTATATAATAGTTAGTTTATATATAGGCTTGTAATAATCAGTTGTACTAATTATAATAATTAATTTAAACCTTCTATGTGATATATAATATTTAAAAAATTTCTACAATTGATATAGGAATCTGAATATCGAGATATTTCATATCCCTGGTGGCAACATGTCTGGTCATCATACTATCCTGTATCCGTACAGCCACCAGTGATGTCGGCCGGTTTTATTAGTTGGATTATCGCGATGTTGATTGCGATAACCGCTTTGGGATGCGCAAACTCTACAGATCGCTTGGAAACTTTTCTTAAAGAATCTTTAGCTAAATTCCAGAATGCGTTTGCGGTGGTCAAATGGTTATGTATGGAATGGCCAGAGGACGGGTTGGTATTTGTGTTACGTTATCTCCTTTCGTACATTAGCTTTCGTTGCAGAAGAAGAAAATAAAGCGAGAAAATGATGTCGTTATATGAAAACATATTTTTGTTCTCAGAACGCAAGAAGAGATACTCGTAACTACTGAAGCAAACGCGATATTGGACGACAGCGAAAACAGTATAGGTTGCGACGACGGCCGCTCAGAAATGTCGAATGATACAAACAACGCGGCGCGCGGGGATATACATCCGATTTCTTACGGAACGAATTGGATGCCGCAGCCAAATTTCTCCTCGTTCAAGGAAATGCAGCGAAAAATATCAATGAAATCCTTTCACACGGTGACAGGCGCCAATGACATTCAGGTAACAATTTATGTGTATATGTATGAGAGAGATTTACGCCTCATTTTATTACCTCCTGTTACCTTTAATTTTCTAATAAAGGATAAAATATTTATATATATCAATAAGATTTTTACTTATTTAATATTTGTGTTCCAAAAGAATTTATAAAATTTTTGTACAAACATTTTATATATAAAATCAAAATTTTATTTTACTAAAATTAATGTAGGTTGTGTATAGATTGAAGTTATCTCTTTAAGGGGAAAAATTCTTACCTTTTAGAAATTCCATTAAAACCTTAAAGGAAATCCTAATTGTGTTACACAAATACGATATGACTGCAACAATTCGTTAGAATTTCGAAAGAAATCCTAATATGATTGCAACACAGATTTGGCTTTCAGGATCCTGACAAATTCACGGCTAAGCAATTGCGAAACCGACGTGGCTGTCACACCGTGATACCGAGCAATTCCAGTGAGCAATCAAATGAATGTTGAAGGGACTTGTCAATGTTCACTGAACGATCGTCATCGAAGAGCTCTTTGATTGAGCAATGCTCATGGGAAAACGTATCCTCGAATGTGGCGCGTCAATTTCGCAGAGAATATTTAATTTACATAACAACGAGTCGATGCGCCGCGACGTTTATATATACTGATAAGGTTTTTTTAATTATCTAATATTTATGATCCAAAAAAATTTATAAAATTTTTTACAGAAATATTTTATACGTATAATATGTAAAACCAAAACTTAATTTTTGAGATTAAACGATAGTTGAATGACCATTAAAGAAGTACAATAGTGGTTACGTAAAAATAATGTGCGTAACGTTACATGAGGTCGCACACATGCTATCAATCATATTAATACAGTATGTGTATGTATATAAAACTTTTATAAATAAATGTATTTTTAACACTTTATTCATAAATTTCTCTAATATTTGTAATGTATCTTCTTCTCATAAATATTACAAATTTATAATAAACTGTAATATACATCAATCATCCGAAGCGCTCAATATAATTTTTGTTGTAATAATTTTATCGATAACCTATTAATTTGGGATTTCAATTTTTATTTTATTAATAACGTTAGGACTAAGAATTAGAGAAAAAATAAAAAAATATTATATTCACCATTATATCTGATTAGAATGAATAAAATGGCTTCATATATTATTTCTTTAATATTTTATAAATATTTTATAAACAATTTTGTAAATATATATATATTAAAATTTTATTTTGTTTCCATGAAATTTATTTAGATAAGTAACAATATTTTATTAATCGTTTCATTAATTTCGTAGAAAGTAATAAAAAATATTGTGAAAAATATCGGAAAAAAAAGAGTTAAGCTGTGTAAAAAATAAGTTAAACGACGACGATCTCCTTGTAGTATCTTAAAAAAAGCTTTATAAAGCCCAGTGTAGTCACACATCGAGCCACCCTCCTCGGTCCCTTTGATTATTTATCGAATAAAAGGTCCTGCCGCCTCCGCCAGACCCCTGGACTCCGTCACTTTGCTTCGCCGGCTAGGGGGATGCACAGAAATGCGCATGCGTCCGGAAGGGGTAACATTCCCCATCTTGAACCGGAGCATTATTCTGTAACTACAACGTTTGTGGGGTAGGTCGCAGATATTCGTGGTCAACACGACATATATCAAATAAACCTCGTTCATTCCGAAAGTGCGCTTTTCGATTCGTCACCCTTGACAAGTGAATACCTGTGAGTCACCGTGGGATCGATTTCCGGTCGGGAAAACCATCTTGGAAAGATTCAGGAGAGAATTTGGTCTTCCGAAGCAGAATCGGGCGTGAACGGGTCCTACGCGGCGTAACTAACGTCTGCTTCCTTGTACGATGTGATTATACGCAGTATTGAATTTTTCGACTGTTACCAGACAAAAAAAATCGACGGTCACGGCTGCTACATCGGAATTCTGTGAACATTCTTTGGTAAGACGATCAAGGTTTGAAAAAATCATATTAATTTAGGATTTTTATCAATTTTTAGCAAATGTAGCAGACTGAGATATTAAAATATTTGCGTTTGTTTCGTTGTCTAAATGATCTAAATACCTCTATATCTAAAATATCTATATTTAGAATAAATAAAATAAAGTTTAAAAAAAACAAAAATTTTTTTATCCCGACTGAGATGCGAATTACGACTAACTACATAAAGCAGTAAATAAATAATTATACTCTATAATAAATAATTATATATCATTAATATTGGAAAGAGATTGCACAAAGTTACGCATTTGGAAATCGATAAATGCTGTTAATGCGTTGTAATTAATAATAAACCTAAACAAACCTTAAACAAACCTAATTCAAGCACCTGATAATCGATAAGTGTGTAATGGATCAGGATTATATTCGTACACGACCTACGCGATTCATTTAACGATTAAGTATTTCCCTTGCGCAGTCAAGCGCATGATGCAGCAGCTGCATCGTCATCCTATCTAAGGACTATTAATTATGGCAAGAATGAACGTAGCATTACACTATGTACGTGTAATAAATTTATAAATTGCAATTTTTTCAAATATTTTAACCATAGTTAAACAAGAGAAAACTAAGTTACACTATTGAAGACAATTATCTTTTTTTTAATTAAGCTGTAATTATCTTCTAATGCTCTTTGTATACGTATGATCGTGTTTCATAAAAAAATGTTGTATTATATTAAATTTATTTCTTTATTGACTTATCTTTAAAAATATTTATTAAAATTGGTTTAAATGTAAAAAATAATTAAATAATGCGATCTTAAACAATGCTAAATATAACTTTGTTAGCACGTGCTATAAAAATAAAGTATTAAATGGGAAAAGAATTAATTATTTTAACATTCCTTTCATCAAATAATTATAAGAATATGTAAAGAATTTGATATCTCTTTTAATGAAACAATGTTTTTAATGTTATATTAATGAAACGTTTATATTATATTAATGAAACATCAATGTTTTTAATAACAATATAATATTAATGAAATGATGTTTTACATATATTTTTTGCTTATTGTATTATAAATTACGTAACAAAACACTTATATTTTCGATTCACGCGTATCGCTTCAAAATTGATCTTTCGCTTCGTTATTAAATTTTCTGTGGATTTTTATTTTTCAGCGTACGCATTTCATTTTTTGCGTGACTCCCCCTTCCCGCCCCTTTAATTCAAAATACTCTTGATTGATTCTCCAGTACTAGTGCAATCACGTTCTGACGCAATTGCAATCCAATTGAGTATCAGCGTTGCGACGAGTCCGAATTTTACGACGAGATTCACGGTCCACGTGTGTACATAGACGCGATGTAAACTTGATATTGATTTTGCGTCCAGCATCCATGAGCGTGGAGCGCGCGCACGGCCAACGGCGCGCTCGCTCACATGAACGCAAACATATGCACGTTACGTGCACACAAGTACGTAGGCATGTGTATACATTACTTGGCACGTGCACCCTTTTCATTACCGATCCTAAATCGGCCGAGTTACAATGGTAAAAGAAGTAGGGAGAGAATTCCTGGAGGAGGGAGATGAATATGAATGAGCGAACACACGCGATTTACTGCAAACATGCGTAAAGCTATGACAATACGCACGAATGGTCGCGGTACGTTGAATAGGAAACCGGTTGTATAGGTTCCGCACTGGTCACCGAAATTCAAAGCAAGGCGAAAAATTTAAGCGAAAAATTTTGGCGAAAAATATAAAGCTGCCGAGAATACCAGAATACTGCAATCCGGAATAAATAAACTTGGCTAAATAATTATCTCCATTATTCTTTCACATTAATCTTATCGATAATAGAAGGAAAAAATTTAATTACGTAAATGAATGTGATGTTAATCTTAAAACAAATGATTCTAAAAGATATCCAGTGTTGTACAGATAGAAAGTTATCTTTCGGTTAATTCAATGTAAATTTGTTTAAAAAGTTTAATTGCGATATCAATCACGAATATGTTGAATATTAAAAACTAATAAAGTATGAAGACAATTCTTTCTCCGAGGAAAAATGTGATTTTAAATTGTTTGAAGAAAATATAGCAAAAATGGCAAGCGACAGAATATAAATATAAAAAAATACGGGAGAACTTTAATTATTTTTACGTTTTTCTGTGAGTTTAAAATCCATCTTTTTTTAAAAAAAAACTGTTTTTTACGTTTATAAAAATCGGCACAATAATTGGAAGAAGTATTCAAATTGCACTATAATTTCGAAATTGTTCTAAATAGCTCGATACGCTGCAACTTTAATTATTTTTATCATTTCTTATGAGACATTCAAATTCGTTTTTTTTTTTAAAGAAAATTATTGTTTTATATAAAAATATGCATAACAATCGGAAAAATATCCATATTACAATTTTAATAATAATTAATAATTCTGAATTTAAAAAATTAATAAAAGATAAATGCAAGACATATCTGTTATTCTCAAAAAACTGAATGAGAAATATTCTCTTGTATATTAAAAAATTATTTTGAATAGTTCGGAAGCAGTTATGATATACAAAGCTGAATACATAAATAAATTTGGTTTGTTAGTTCAACATCTGCGATGTCATTAGCAATTCATTTTCAATATAGCTGTGCCATTTAACATGATATTATTCAAAGGTCAACGAGATTATATATCCATATACACACATGTTCTCTACAAACATACCTATTGGAAAATCGGCGAGATAAATGAAAATGAATTGAGCTTTATCGAAATACGACCCCGAACGACATTCGTAATTGCATACTATACAACTGCGTGCTGGGCTTTATCAGAACGTGGGCGGAGAAATTTACTGTTGTAAGTGTAACGCTTTTTTTCTCCAAATGTAATAGAGGTCATGGCGAAATGTCGATGTTGGAGAAAACGTGCATTTATACCACTGTCTACTCGGAAATCTAATCACCGCTAATATCAGATTAATTTGCATTGAAAAAAATTTGCATAATTGGTTAAATCAAAAAGATATTAATAGTTTGCAGGGCTCTTATTCTTGAAAAGCATACGTAAAACTAGGGAAAATCAAATAGTTAATTTAAGAATATTTAAACTTTTTGTTCCTTTCTTTCAAAATTAAGTTTCGAAAAACATTTGGATTTCCTTCTATTTTTTTAAGTTTCTTTCTGAAAGAAGCTTAAAGAAATAGAAGGAAATGTTTCGAAACTTAACTTCAAAAGAAAGAAACAAAAGTTTAAATATAATATTATTAAATTAACTATTTGATTTTGAAGATTAAATTCTATTTTCACAGAATAAATATTCGTGATGTTTTATTTCTCAACCTATTTTTAATTTTTCAAAAAATGTTAAAAGAATGAAAGTTTCTTGTCATATATTCTGTGAAATTATAGTGAGACATCGCGTGTCCTTTCTAGGGGAATTATTACTTAACTGTATTAGAAGACAAAATTATAGGACAAAATCATGATAATCGATCGCATGAAGGCCGCAAGAATTTGCGTTTCATCTTTCCAATTACGTTCAAGGACTGTCTTAGAGCTTCCTTTTATTCAGTGTCAACTTTCGGTATGTTTCAGACTCCATGGCGGAGAAAATGTATTACTGGGGCGAGGAGAAGGATCAAGTTGACCCCGACCAGACCTTCATACAATTCAAGGCCAAATCGGTGGCGACGGATAAGAAGCGCGAGCCGTCTCGTACTGTGCCGAAGATGACGGTGTCTTCGCCACAGGGTAAAATGACCGAGATTGGTAATAGAGAGGAGGATGCCGAACGCGGCGGGTGGGACAATAAATTGGATTTCCTATTTTCTTGCATAAGTGTTTCCGTCGGATTGGGAAATGTCTGGCGGTTCCCTTATCTATGTTATAAAAATGGTGGTGGTAAGTAGATTATACCAAATTTACGTCACGCATCAACAAAATAAATCATTAAACATTAAAACTTTCAATCGTCGTTTAAATTTATAATTGTATTGCAGATTATAAAAAAATTTTTATCAAAATAAAAAGATTATTTTGCTAACATATACAGTTAACATAAAGAATACTTTGATAGTTAAAAGTTTTATATAATTTTTATTTTTTATCATTTTAAAGTAAGATATTAATAGAAACCGTAATAGAGCTCTGTTATTCCATTTAAAAGCTTCTCCAGAGCATTAAATTTGCCACTATAGTCGGGGATGAGACAGCATCGGATTTCAGTGGCGTCCGACATTCATAATTACTCCTCTAGAGTTTAAGTCATGCAATCCTTAATATGATGGAAATGGCATGCGTTAAAATTTAATAACCGCGGCCTTCTCGAGTTTTAATTACTATCTTACTACTAAGTTTCTTTTACGTTCCTGTAATAAAAAAATGAAATAAGATAAAAAAAAGAGCAAGAATAGATTGCGACCGATAGATTGTTTGTTTATACTCCTTCGACATAAAAATAATTATTATTAACATTTATATGAAAAAATCAATAGTTTTTTTTCTTTAACGAATTTTGGAATTTTGGAATTTTTCAACAGGCGCTTTCTTGATCACTTACGGTATTGCAATGCTGTTTTGCGGAATCCCTATATTTTTTCAAGAAGTCGCTATTGGACAATATCTTGGAGCTGGTGGAATGTCGCTAGTGGGACAATTGTGTCCACTACTGCAAGGTAATAATTATTTTCTGATATCTTTAGGAATTGAAAAATTGTACAGCCTAAATATGTCAACAATAAATATCTAACATTTTAAAAAATACTAAATTTAATAAATATTTGTTTGAGTAAATTTTAGTAAATAGTTAATAAATGTAAACATATACTTATTTGATACAAAAACCATTAATTTGATTTAACTATTATATCATTTGTTTATTAGAATAAATATTTATATGAACTTATTTACTAGAAGCAAATGTTTGTTCAAAGAAATGTATATTAAGATTTAGTAAATTTTTTCTTTAGTGTAACAAGAAGAGAGAGAGAGAGAGGCATAATATATTATCGAATTTCAGGTGTAGGATATGCTACGATGACCATTGTATTCTTCCTCGACGTATATTACTGCATAATTATTGCTTGGACTCTTTTCTATCTAATAAGCATGTTTGTGAATTTACCGAAAGTACCTTGGAGTGGATGTGGTAATTAACATTTATAATACATATACCTTGTGTCATATTTTGTGTAATACTGTCACTTAAAAATTAAAAAGTTGATTAAGAATACTTTATTTTTATATAATACGTATTTATGTAAATAATACAATATCATATAATACGATATTATAAAGAGAGCTCTCTGAATAAATTTAATAGATATATAATATAATTAACCGTTCATTTATCATAGACAATTATAAGTGATTTGATTTTCAGGAAACTGGTGGAACACGAATGATTGTTATGATGCGACCCATGAGGGCAGTGAGTACGGAAAAATAAACTGTTCAAATTCTGCCGAAAATAATACCTGTCACCATACCACGCCGGTAGAAGAGTATTGGGAGTAAGTAAATCATTATTTAAAAATGTTACAAAATACAAAACGCTTATAAAATACTGTATATGTGATGGAAAATTAAGAAAACGCTCAATCTTATTTCATTTTTTTTTTTAAAGTAAACCTTCAAACTAAGGGACTTTTCAAACTCGAAAACTTTGAAAATTTTGAGTTTAATGAAATGGTACACATATACATATATGCGTCAGATTTAGTATATTCCTTTGTAAGTCAGGCTGTGATATGCTTGTGAATCAGGCTGTGATATAATATGAATATTATTAGGGGATTCACGTGATTACTATAAGAAATGCAACATTGATTTTCTTAAATCAGGTCATAGCAGAGTTCCCTCATGTATAAATTCGTTTACGTAATGTATAATTTTGACGGTATATAATAATAATACTTGCAATATATATACGTGCATCACATTTTTTGCAATTTAATCAACTTAATATAGCAGCTATCATCAGATTAGATATCCCTCACGAAATAAGTCAAGCAAAATAAAAAATCATCGCGACATGAAAATGTAATTTTCGCCCTTGTACATTATTAGTGCTATCGTATAACATGCATAATGCTAATTCAATCTGATATTTACGTTCACGTCTATTATTTATGTTAAAATCTAGATATTATTTATATTTATGGTCATTTTTCTTTTTAGAAGCATTTTGTAAAATGTTTGCGATATTTTATATCAATTATAGTGGCATTACGTCGAATTAATTATTAGCAAGATTGAATTAACAGAATGGCATTGAATTTTCAGTCGACGAGTCCTCGGCATCACGTCTGGCATCGAGAGCATCGGCAAGATCCAGTGGGAGCTGTTAGGCTGCCTGGTTATCGGCTGGATGCTCGTTTACTTTATCATCCGTCGCGGTCTTCATCAGAGCGGTAAGATCATCTGGTTTTCAGCCTTGTTCCCGTACGTGGTGCTTTTCATTCTTTATGCTCAGTCCTGGACCGTGGATAGACGGCGCTACCCAGATCTTCTTCGCGTATAGCATCGGCACCGGTGCCCTGCCCGCTCTGGGCTCATACAACAAGTTCCATCATAATTGTTATAGGTAAGTGATTACGTTCCATCTGATCTGGCTGGACACCGACAAGACGTCTCGCTTCCATAGCATTAAATTTTGATAATTGATTTTGCTTATCTGATCAATTTTCATCAATTTTTCGTCAGAATTTCGAGGCACCAATATATGAAGAAAAAGAAAAGAAAAAGAAAAGATGATAAGAGCATACGTTTCCGTAATCCAACTTAATTTGATCTCGCAATTCCAAGTGGCTCGAACAATCCATATATATCGTTACTTTAGCCATTTCAGATTTCGTTGGTCTTATTTCGTAAATTAAATTCGAGAATCGTAGTTATGGCTTTAAGGTGCTCTAGTCTTTAACCACGACGCACTAAACGTGATGTCGTCGCTGCTGGGGTCTTTCAAAAAGGGAGTTTTGTCTTGCAGAGACGCAATAATTACTTGCGTAGTCAACACCCTGACATGTCTTCTGGCCGGTTGCGTAACGTTTTCGATACTGGGTCACATCGCCCAAGAACAGCAAACGCAGGTGTCCGAGGTTGTCAAGAGCGGACCTGGTCTCGTCTTCCTCACGTATCCTGAGGTCGTTTTGAAGCTACCCGGTGCTTCGTTGTGGGCCATTATATTCTTCGTTATGCTACTCGTAAGAAATTGTTATTCCAATGACGGAATCGGTTGTCGCCGTCTATGTTTTTCATGTACATCGCTATAAAAGGGTTTGAATACGTTATCGCTCTCGGCAGGAAGTTTCTCTCTATAGATCGTCATTTAACATCGTTTTTTACTTAAAAAATTGTCAAATATCTATAGAAACGATTTATGCAAAGCTAAAATAAGTTAACTAAGAGGCTTAAAAAAAATTTTCTTCTTTCAAAACAAATTATTTAGTAGTAAATTTAAATTTTGATCCAGTGAATTAAATTCTGAGCAGTGTAATAATATTAGCCAACTTATACAAAAAGTTGTATCAGCATAAGCAAATATAGCAGTAACGTTTATATTTTATTTTTTATAGACAATTTTACAATTTACAAAATCAATTAATATAATAATTATCCGAATCATTTTGTTCAATTTCTTTTTGTAAGAATGTTAATTTGCTATCTGATTTCATAACTCAAATTGTAATATGATCATTTTACACACGATGGATTAATAATAAAGATTGATCATGTAGAGCATGGCCAAACTTAACTCGCAAGTTAAACGCTTGTTTCTCTCCATCATCTCATTGAGCGAGTAAAGAAAAAACGAAAAGCTCTGCCCAATGATTGGCTGCTTTAGCGTCTATTTTTTTTATCTTCTCGCTCAACAAGACGATGATAGAGATATTGAATTCGCAAACTCAGTTTTGGACAGATCTGGTGTAGATAATAGAAAATATATTACTAGCTAATGGATTATTAAATATCAATGTTAATGTATAATATTGTAATGCGTATCATGTTAAATTTGCATTTAGATTTTAGAGCAATGGCTAAGCATATGGAGGAAATAAAATTGTTCCATTTGTCATTATTTAAATATTGAATTATAGGTATATGAATTATTCCGTTTTTCACGCAGATACTCGGTATCGACAGTGAATTTTGCATCGTGGAATCTTTCATAACTGGTATGGTTGACTACTGGCCGGATACACTTCGCCCACACAGAATCAAATTCACCATCGCTATCTGCCTGATAATGTTCGCTCTGGGAATTCCGATGATTACGAATGTTAGTATCTAAAAACACATTTCTATTCGATATGTAATACGAGAGGAACAATTGGAAGTTTCAGGAGCAATTTATCAAAAAAAGAAAATTAAAATGTTACGTCTGTTTCAGGGGGGAATTTACATTTTTCAATTGATGGACTTCTACTCCGCGAGCGGAATGTCTATTCTGTGGGTTTGTTTCTTCCAAACAATCTCAATATCATGGATTTTCGGAGCACAGAAGTTCTGTGACTGCATACATCAGATGATGGGTATTCGATTAAATAAATTCTGGTCTATATGCTGGGTTGTACTCGCGCCGGTGATTATGCTCGTAAGTATAACATTTGCACATAATTATATCTTACAGCAGATAAAGATTATTACTTTCTTCAAAGAGAATTGATCGCGGTCTACACTGTAAAAAAATTACATGTGAAATTACAACAATTGTAGTGAGTATTTTCAAATTCACTATATTAAAGATGTATATTTACATATACGTAACCATTACAACTTTTAAATAAAATTATTCTTCTTTATTAGAGATGAAAATATTAATTTTTGTAAAGCGCATAATTTTATATATTTCCATTATAATGTATAATTTTTACATATATTAATTATACAATTTTACATATCATTTTTACAGTGTAATTCATGGAAATCATTATGTAAAAGCATGTAAAACATGTTACTTACAGCAAAATTAAAAATTTCTTTTTTTACTTTTCCAGTTTATCTTCGTATTCCAAATCGTGCAATATAAACCATTGAAATATGGCAGCAACTACGAATATCCTACATGGGCAGAAATAGTTGGTGTATGTTTGAGTCTTTCATCTATGATTTGGATACCGGGATATGCATTGTATTACATAATAAGTACGCCAGGATCATTTAAAGAGGTAAATTTGAAATTATTCGCGTGCAAATCATGCATAATGCATATGAAAAAGCTACCTCGCGTTATTATCGTATACATCTCACGTAATAGCCATAATCGTGCTGCGGGCTTCATTTGAATTGTAGATGTAATATATAATTACGACTTTTTTTTCAGAACGTCCTGAAAGGTCTACAACCGAACATAAAATCGCATGCAAAATTACCGAAACGAGAAAAGTCAGCCGTGATACCTATGTCAGAGAGCAGCGCAGGCTTAATTACGAAAAATAACAGTTTCCTGAGTCAAACATGATTAGCGTTAGCGGTTACTTCTAACTTGTTAGGTTACACTTATCGTAAAAGTAATATTTATAGTAAGATAAATATATATATCTATATATAGTGGGTCCAGCACGATTGGACATTCAGTAGTAATTTGTGTCAAAATGGACGCGTGTCAAACTAATCATTTTCATGTAGTATGCTCAGTTAAGCAATCATACTATTATTTATTTAATAATAAGACAGTAATATATTTCTTTAGTGATGTATTTCTAATAAGGATGTCAGAGATTCTCCTTAATTCCTTAATAGCTGGTTGATTGTAACATTTAACATTATAATAATATTATTTTAATAATATTAAAATTATTTTTTGAAGAAACAATTTTCGAAAAAATTTTCTTCAAGAGAAATTATTTGTAATACATGTATGTGATAATTGTATAGTATCATAAATTAAATTTAATAACGGATTAATGTTTTAAAAAGAAGATAAGGATATATTGTTTTGTAAGACATGTTCAAAATTTGATTATTTAAAGTCTTTGTTGATATATAAATTATGCCAGCTGTTAATGTTTTAAGATAGAGAATTTTAATCGAAAAGAAAATTATTTGGCGATCGCAATTATAGATGACTCGTACGTGTTGACCAAGCTGATAAAATACTCAATAAAGGGTATAATAAGTATTGGAAACGGGACGGGAAGGAATACTTAGAAGTAATAATAGTATACACCGCGCAAGTATTCAGATAGCTATTTACGGGCAATTTGAAAGAAGTATATTTTTATATCGCGATCATATCGCGATAAGTATATAAATTTTTAACGGAGAGAGAAATCGTTTGGTTGATAATTCGGCTGGTTTAAGGAAATAGAAAGTTCTCGTTGAACCATAGCCTGGTTAAGGCGAATAGAAATTTATGTTTTGATCAAAGCAATGCACTGGTAAGTGTTTATATAGTTGAAAACTCTTCCTGTTGAGCGCATTAAGATGTTTACTGCAGCTACATGAAATAAAATAGGAACATAGCGTATATAGAATAAGAATACTGGCACAGTTACGAAATATATTAAATATCTGAAGTACAAGTAAAAGTATAACTTTTAACGTTCGTATAAAAATTGAGACGACCAAATGCGTTCACCAAGAAGAGACATTTTCGATTCCAACCAGTCGCAATAATCAACTGGACTGTAGCAGGATACAGAATATTTCTATCACAAAGTTCTAGCAGTTTATACTGCATTTAACTTCGACGGCACAAATTTTAGATTTTTTTCACGTTACAATCTTTATAAAACATACATTGTAATATTATGTTTTTGATGCGATGTAAGGTTGAAGAAAATTTCCGAGTTTTTTTACTTGAAATTTAATATGTACATTTTTTTAAATATGTAACGCCGGTAATGTATTTCTATAACTTTATGGCAATTATTGTTTAAATTTAAATAGGAATAATGCAATTAATTACGTTTGTATTTGCAATTAATATTTGCGATCAATTACAATCAAATAATTAGTGTCTGAGACACTTCTAGCAGTATTTTGCAAAATTAAAGTTAAATTTAAACGAAAGACGCATATAATTATTCAGAAGAAATTGAAAATTTTATCCCATGATATTTTATTTTATTTTTTAGATCGAAGTTGCAATTTTAATTTGATTCAAATATTAAAATATACCTTCTTGCAAAAAATAGTATATAAAAATTATATTTTGTCGTATTATTAGTAACAAAATCATCACTCATGACTTTCTACTACTTTAAATATTTATCTTATTTTCTAAATGTAAAAATCATTTTGTTTAAAAAATGTCTTATTTGCTCGAAATATAAAAGCAATAATATTACACGGAGGAAGTGCTTTTTTCAACCGGCCTAATTAATTGGAAATATTTTCTCTTATTTAGTCCGTAAAGTATTTATAATCGCAAATGCTATTCGTCGAAGTGTTGCAATTGTTGACGTTGTATAATACTAAGAAATGGCTGATAGCTTAATGCGATATTCGTTTCTATTTTAGTACCGTACTGTTGCAAACTTCCAATAGTAAGTTAAGAACCGAACGATATTATAAGCCAGTTGGATCTGCGTTGAACAACGTGTATCTCTAGCATTATTAATTTGTAATTTCATTTAGCGATTGATAGATTGGTAATTGCGATGTGTATTTTACTAATTTGAAACACGAATGTTTCCGAATAATCGTATTAGAATCAAATAGTTGCACATGCCGGGCGCGAATCCCGACTATTTGATCATTAATCAACAAATTATTCAATGACACGCGAACATAAAAAAATTCTTTCACACCTATTACGCGAGCAACACTGCGATTGTGTAACGTCGCAAACATTTGTTCATCGCGTGATAGCATAATAACGTATTTTCCGTGTGTAACTGTATTCTGTAAATGTATTCAATGTTACGTGCGCAAGCACGACCAGGTTAAACATAAATTTTCGCAATTACTTACACGGCAATGTCTAGACATGCGTTATTATCGAATGGATTTGCAACCGCACGGATAATTTGATAATGGCTCTACGAATCGGTGTTCGCTGATAGAAGAATTCGTACAAGGAATTAAATCTGTTACACAAATTATATTTCTATATACACATATACATTGTATGCATATTTTATACAGTGTATAATAATGTGTATTACCGTTTGAAAATCAAAAAAACTTGAACCCAAACAGTATTGTTCTTGTGAATGGAAATTAAATACGACGAAGGGGGAACCTGCTTTTTTTTTTCATTGAAATTTTGTCGCAAATTTCGATTAAATCTTTAATTTTTCGTCGTGCGATGCATGAAAGGATTTTTTTGCATATCATTTATATTGTTTGTTGGTACAAATAATTAGAATTATGAAGGAATTTTATTTTGTGCCCGTTTGGATACGCTTTTCGCGAAATATTTCCAAATTATTCGCGTGCTCTATATTCAAATTTCTACCAAAGTTTATGGAAAATATAAAATTTCGCTAAATGTAAAAAGATTTTTGTTAAGGTCTAAATTTGTTGTAGCATTTAAAAAAATAAATACTCGACTTGGAATGTATATATCTTGATATGATATCATGAAATTTTTGTGGGAATAGTATCTTAAATTATCCTAAATTTTTCTATAACATCTTTTTAATTGCAACATTCTATGCAGAACTGTTAATTGCTATTTTCGGATTTATTTTGGAATTTTCGACAATTTTCAAATTCCTTTCTGGATACATTTGTGAGATTTATCGACTGCGGCATGGGTTTACGGTGTACTTTGTATCTTGAGAGCCACACTTTTCCTACGTTTCCTAAAGAAATGTAAGAAAGTAAAAGAGAGTGAGAATCTTTCGTGAGGTGTGTAAGAATTTTTAAATATATTTTTAGTAAATCAGATATAATCCGAGTGTGTAATTCGAGTCACATAATGTTGTACACGTACTCGAGAGCCGAAATATGTTCAGATTTACTTTCTGAGCGCAGTAAAAACGGTAAAAACAACGCGTCATTTGCGAATGTGTATTGAATTGACGCATTAAATGTTTCACATATTTGTGACATTATGTATACGTTTTCGGCAAAATTGTATTGATATATGTACTTAAATAAACATTAACGCCTAATTATCGTGATGGTTTCCAGTAACGTACCCACAGCAGTAAATAAGACTTCCCACTCTATTGATCCAATATCTATTACCATTGTCATATATTGTCACTGTTTACACCATTTGTGGATATTTGCTTTCGTAACGCATTCATCTATTGTTTAATAATTATTTCAAACGAATGATAAAAGCAGATTAGAAATGTCAATTAACCATTATCACCAATATTTTGAATGTCAATAGAATTGCGTATACAATACCTCATAGATGATTCATGATTAACGAATATGAACGTAAAATTTTACGATGACAGAGATTGTATTTGTAATGAATGAGTAATTTGTAATATTTTGTCTCGCAAAACAGTCATTATAACGAGTGCACAGTTTACTATAATAACAGAATGTTAAAATAAGTACGTTAAATAGATATAGAATTGTCGGACTTCTTTTTTAAAATATTAATTATCTTTTATCAAACAAAAATTCGTTTCTACCGAAAGCTCGTAAAAGAAACTGTCGAAAAATACATTCGGTTCAAAGCTCTTCACACAGAATATGACGATAACAGTGCATTTCAATTAACAGTGACAAGAGTATTTTAATTACTAATTAAGCGCTGACGAAGCGCGGACGGATATGTCATGACGGAAACGTGAACCGTCTTTCGCACTCGCAACGATTGGGTTTCATATTTCCCCGCGCTACGCACGTTTTAAGCTAGATTTTTTCTCATTTTGTGAAACGACGTATCATTCCGCGTCGTGTTTTACGACGGAAAGCAACGACAGGGCGACGGAAATGCGAAAGGTCCTGTATGTCTCCCCGTTTACCACACTAAACCCGATCGTTACGTGGTCTTTTATTTTGCGGTGAGGACTATTATCAGGATACTAACATCCTCTCTATAGGACCCACCTATTACTCAGGTCGCCGACATTTCCTTTTACGTAGATGGGCGTCACCGTTAAAATCTTCTTATGAAACGCCTCGTAACTGTGCGAGCTGCGCGTAAAATATATTTTATTAGAATAAATAACATTGCGGAAAGGTTGAACCTCTTTATCTCATTTTTTTCTTCTGTTGTTTCGATTTGACACATGTAAATATACGCGAGTACAGGTTTTCTGAGCAAAGAAAACGCACCACTTTAAAAAAAACGTAAAAATGTACTGTTGTATCTCTTAGAAAAACAACAAAAATGTTTTTAATTTTGTAATTTGCAAAACTTTCAACGGTAAAAAGTAATGAGACTCTCAAGTACATCTTTTATTTCTAAATTTTGCTTCTTAATGAACTCGGTTTTTTTCTACCGTTTTATGAATGTTTATTTAAAAAATTCTCTAAGTCTGAAAGTTGACGCGTAGGAACGTCTACTATTTGTGTAATTTTTTTATACTAACCAGAAATGAAAATCAGAGAATGACACAGAACTAAAATGTTGCAGTTTCAAAAAGCTGTATGAAGCAGACGTAAATTATAATAAGTCCAAGAGTATATATTTAATTTCTTCATAAAATAAAAGTCATAATTTTAATAGTTTTTTATAGCTAAAACACACATTTTAATATTCATTATAATTCAGTCACTAATATTTAACTCACGGCTTATTTAACTCTT